GAAAACATGTGCTATAAACCTGGAAGTGCCCTCTAGTGGCTGTCTAGTAGGTTACAGCAACTAGAGGAGGAGTTAACCCTGCAAGGTAAATATTGCAGTTTATGAAAACTGCAATATTAACAGTTGCAGGGTTAAGGGTAGTGGGAGTTGGCACCCAGACCACTCAAATGGGCAGAAGTGGTCTGGGTGCCTGGAGTGTCCCTTAAAGAAAGGTTCCCATCACAGACTAATTTATCCACACTCATTAGTCAGAAGTGCTTGATGGATGACTTTACTTATCTCAGCCATGGTTGTCCTGACACAAGGCCTAGATTCAGCAAACAAAATGAGTGGCATGTGGCGACTTGCGCATGTGTTCGTGACATCTAGCTCACTTCCACTCACAAGTGGGGGGGAAAAAACAGGGGAGGAGAATAAATGGTGGCACAAGATTTCAACATATGATGCAAGGAGAAAAATCATAATTACTAGCTTGGATTCACCTTCTAGGAATTGTCAGACTCTGCAGGGTTGCCTGTGCTCTATAGCGGCGATCAACATTTATATATAAAAAAAAAACAACTTTTTTTTACCTAACGTAGTTCTTGTAATTTAAAAAAAGATCAGATAAGGGCCACATTTTGTAATATCAGCAGACAACCAGGTGAGTAAGTTGGTATTTTATATATATATATATAGTGGTTGCTCTCCAAGGTATCACTCTGCTAGAGTTAACAGGAAGGAGATGGCCTCCACCCAACACATATTTCTACTTACTTGCTTTGATTTTTTCTTAAACAGTCACAAGTGTGGAGATTTATCAGCGTAACAGTGATAAGGCAACAGATTTATTTTAAATTATGCAAAAATTTTAGATGAGTTGCAAACGTGTCACACTGCTACTTTGGACTCCGTTCCGTTATACTGCATGGATGGTAGCACACTCCTATTGCGCAATAACAATTTGTATAAGGAGGAACACTCTATGTATAAACCTATATGAGAAACAGGGTGTGCAAACCTAGGTAGACACTCCCCTAAATGTAAAAATAAAAAAGTATATAAACAAACAAGGACGCACACCAAAGATACTGGAAAAAAAACAGATAATACATTATTAGCACAATGGTATAGTAATAAGCATACAGAAAAATAACACAAAAAAAGAACACAGTGAAAGACGCTAGACTGTAATAAACAATATGTAACAGAATACCATCAACAGCCTACCAGGACAGCCACTCTCCAACACCTACCTCAAACAGCAGACTTTACCTCAAATACCAGACTTTACCTCAAACAGCAGACTTACCTCAAATAACACTTACCTCAAATACCAGACTTTAGGTCAAACAGCAGACTTTACCTCAAACAGCAGACTTTACCTCAGTTCCATGGCACAGCATTGTGAGGGGCTGAAATCAAACAGAACCACACATTAACAATTCTAAACAAACAAACTAATTATAATAAACACAGGGTCTCTCCTAGACTGGGTACACTAAGTATGGCCTCACTCACCGTCAGCCCCCAGCCCAGAGCAGCCCCTCCACAGCACCCCCAGTTTGCACTTCCAGCCATGAGGAGAGCCTGAGGAGAGAGCGAGGCCCTGAGGAGGGCTCTGATCGGATTACTGAAGAGCCAACTGAGTGCATTGTGGGATATATCGGGACCGGAAGCAGCCAGTTATGGAGAGGCTGTGTGAGGTGCAGAGGCTGTGTGAGTCAGTAATGGAGAGGCTGTTGTTTTATCTTGGTTATATAAGGAGATCAAGCACATGTCTTCATAACTGTAAACTTTATTAAGAATGGCCACCAACACTCCCACAATGCAAGAGCCACTTCATGACTGTACCATGGTGCACATAACAACAGTTTAGAAATGGTTCATACCAACTGATAATCTCATTATCAGACATTTCCCTTTTTCTTTTAAACAGAAAACTTAAAGTACAAATTTATTTTAAACTGTAGTATATGTGAAATAACAAGTCTCTTTTAACATTGTTCTATGAGTGGTAACATTGTTTGCTTTGCATCACTAGCAGGCAAGTCATTCGAGCTTTATAAAGTTTCCCTGGCATCTTCATTCTCCAGCTGCAATGGAATGTTCGATGTATCTTCACAGGTTTCTTTCACTGTCGAATTGTTGTGATCTGATGGATAGCCATCAAATGTCTACGATTCCTACGTAAGCATTGCCCATCAGTGGTTTCAACTACATATGATCTTGGAGAATATTGCTGAATAACTGTCCCTTCAGTATTCCAGTGGTTTGAAGCTTGTACTCATACAGGAATTTGTACCTGTTGATTCTCCAATGGCTTTGCAGCTTCGTCATAGTATTCATTTCTTTTTTCTCTGAGTTTCAATTTGGTTTCAATTACATGTTTTTGTGGGAACCTTTTCCATGGTTTCAAAACTGGTACTCGTGTGACCAGCTGTCTGCCAAACAATAATTCTGCCAGTGACTTCCCACATTTTAACGGGGTAGCTCTATAGCGAAGAAGATCCAGACATGGATCCATCTCTGCTTCTGTTGCTTTATGAAGTATGTTTTTCATTATCTTTACTCCAGCTTCTGCTAATCCATTTGCTTGTGGATATCCTGGGCTGGATGTTCAATGTTCAAATTCATAGGTACTGGCAACCCTAAACTCTCAACAATTAAATTGAGAACTATTGTCTGATATTATTACTCTTGGAATGCCTTGTCTCGCCAAAATTGCTTTTACTTTTTTGATCATGGTACTTGCCGACTCATCTTCCAATAAAGCTATATTTGGGTAATTAGAGAAGTAGTCCATGACTAAGATATAAGGTTTTGAAAACAAACAAGTCCATTCCTAACTTCTCCCAGGGTGCCAAAGGAAAGTCTGTATCCAGTATAGGCTCTTTAGGTAACTGAGGTCTGAATTTTTGGCATATCCAGCATTGAGTGATCATTGTCTCAATGTTTCAATGTTTTCATTCTTGTTTGGCCAGTACAAAATGTCTCTAGCTCGTTTTTTCTTCTTTTCTATACCTGAATGACCATCATGTAGTCTTTTCAGTATTTGACTTTGCAAACTCGCTGATACAATAATCTTCTGTCCTTTCAAAAGCACCCCATTTTCAGAAATGTATGGTTTATGCGGTGTTGGTATTAGTGTCTTAGATTTGCCACTAGAACGTGCTTTCTTCACTTGACTTAGAAGATCATCCTTTTCTGTAGCCTGTACAATTGCTGCCCACATTGCATGACTAAACGGGGCTGTCTTCAAGATCAGATTGACATGAACAGTCACCTCTTTCTGCAACCGTAAGTCCTCCATGTTAAAGTGTAAGTTAGCTCGAGACAGAGCATCAGCTACCACCAACTCCTTGCAAGGTATAAAGTCCAAGGTGAAATCATACCTTTGAAGTCTCAGCAACAAGCGCTGAGTTCTTGAAGGTGCATCTATCAAGCCCTTTTGGTAGATGTGTATCGAAGGTTTGTGATCCGTTTCTGCTAAGAATACTCTTCCATTCAAATAAACACAATTTTTTTTACATCCGTAAACTAGTCCCAGTGTTTCTTTTTCAATTTGTGCAAATTATTTTTCTGTATCTGCCAATGCCCTTGATGCATAAGCCACAGGCATCCATCCTGAGCCTTGATTTTGAAATAGAACTGCTCCCAATCCAGTTTTGTGAAGCATCAGTTGAAAACTGTGCTTTTGCTTTTGGTTCAAAGAATTGCAGAGTTGGTGCAGTAGTAAGCATTTCCTTCAATAACTTCCATTATTTCTGGTGATTCTCTAACCATTCCCAGGCATTAGCTTTTTCTAAATAGTTGACGCACTAGTGCAGTTTTCTCTGGTAAGTTAGGTATGAACTTGCCAAGGTAATTCACCATTCCTAGTAAGCGTTGTATATCCTGCTTATTTTCTGGCTGTGGCATTTCAGTAATTGCCTTAAAGGACCACTATAGGCACCCAGACCCCACTTCAGCTTAATGAAGTGGTCTGGGTGCCAGGTCCATCTAGGGTTAACCCTGCCTGCTGTAAACTTAGCAGTTTCAGAGAAACTGCTATGTTTACTTTAGGGTTAATCCAGCCTCTAGTGGCTGTCTCATTGACAGCCGCTAGAGGCACTTCCGCGCTTCTCACTGTGATTTTTACAGTGAGAAGACGCTTGCATCCATAGGAAAGCATTGAGAAATGCTTTCCTATGGACTGACTGAATGCGCGTGCTGCTCCCTAGCACCGAGGGAGCCTTTAACCCCTTCCTCCCCCTAGAGCCCGGCGGGAGGGGGCCATGAGGGTGGGGGGGGGGACACCTATTAACAATATAGTGCCAGGAAAACTAGTTTGTTTTCCTGGCACTATAGTGGTCCTTTAATCTTTTTCATGTCTGGTAAAACACCATCTCCAGTGAGTTGTTCTCCCAAATATTGAATTGAAGTTTTTCTGAATTGACACTTTGTCTTATTGAACTTCAAATTATTCTCCTTAGCAACGTCTAAGACTATCTTCAGTCTTTCATCATGTTCTTGCTTGGTTTTACCCCAGATCAGAATATCATCAATGAATACAGTTGTGCCCAGTATTCATTCTGGAAGTTGCTGCATTGCACTATGAAACACTTCTGGGGATGAACACAAACCGAAGGGCAGTCGTTTGTAACAGTACCTCCCATAAGGAGTATTGAAAGTGCAAAGTTTCATGCTTTCCTCCTCCAGTGGAATCTGCCAAAATCCTGATGATGCATCCAGTTTGCTGAATACTGTTGCTCCACTTAACTCCCCAAGCAGTTCTGGTTTTGTCGGTAAGTGGAAGTGTTCTCTTAAGATGCTTTTATTCAGTTCTCTGGGATCAATTCAGATTCTGAAACCCCCATCCTGTTTTTCCACCAACACCATTGAATGAACCCATTCAGTAGGCATCTTGATTTTCTTTATAATATCTTTTCCCTCCATCCTGGCAAGTTCCTGTTTAAGATGATCCCTCAGAGCAACAGGAACATTTCGCATGGTATGCACTACTGGACGAGAACCTTCTTTTAGATTCCGTCAAAAACGTCTGCATAGTCTGTTATTAAAGTTTCTATGTCCTCTTCTTTATTCGTTCCATCAATGTCATTTACCCTTTGAATCAGGCCTAAAGTTTCACATATTTGAAGACCCAGTAAAGCTGGTTTGTTTCCTGGAATTATCATTTTATGCGTTTGATTTCCATATTCCAGGAACACACTGCACTTGCCAAGCACTGGGATAATGTCCTCATTATATGTTATTAGTTTGACTGAGCTTTTCAGAAGTTCTGGTTTGTTCTTCAGTTGGTGAGACTTGCTCTCAGGCATCAAATTAGCTTGTGCATCGGTTTCTACTTTGTAGGCCATATTAATGCCATCTGTGATAGCTTCAATGACCCACTCATTATTACCTGTAGCTTTGTTTAACTCAAGTATTCCAATAAATAATTCTTCTGATCCTTCACATTCTGCCTGGTCGACAATGTGGACCATTTTCTTTCGCTTTACACATCTTCTGAAAGGGATTCCTTTTCCCACATTTTTTGCAGATTTGCCTATAAGCCGGATGATGTTTTATATCATGCTGCTTTCCACATCTGGTGCATAGCCAGTCTGTTACCGGCAGTGAATTTGCTGTTCGTGTGATGAAACTTTTCCCTTCCATTTTATTTTCATAATGTGGATTCACTTTGGTTTTCCCCACTGTAATTGCCATTACTGGTGTTGTCTCTGTACTGTGACAGAGTATACGCACTTGTTCCTGAGCTGCGTCTTAACTTCGACAAACCTCTACTGCCTTTTCCAGCGTTAAATCTTTCTCTCTGAGTAAGCGTTCTTTAACCCTTATATTTCTGCAGCCCATGACTAGCTGGTCTCTGATTAATGAGTTACACATTGCTCCATAATTACATGATTTACTCTTCAATTTTAAGTCAGTGACATACTCCTCAATAGTCTTTGTTTCATTCCGCATTCTACATCTGAAAAGATACCTTTCATAGGTTTCATTGCGTCTAGGTACACAGTATTGTTCAAATATTTATAGAACAGCCTGATAATCATCCCTTTCTTCATCTGTAAATGTGAAGGTGTTGTACACATCTATTGCTACTGATCCTGCTACAGTCAGAAAAAGTGCAATGCTTTGTTCATCATCTTGCTCCGGAGCTCCTTTAGCTCTAACATATAGCCGGAATCTTTGCTTAAACTCAGCCATGAATCTTCCATATCACCAGTTATTTTCATTTAACTTTTCCATCTTTATGTTACTGACTGTCGATTTATTTTGCTGTGAATTATACAGTATTAATGGATAAGATTGTAGTCCTCCTCTGTTTGGAATCACAGGCAATTTTACATGTAATAATGCACGTACTCAGTTCATGAGAAGCTGTTTTAGTCACTGCCTGAGCTTTGGCCCACTCTCATTCTATTTGCTGCAAAGATGTCTTATGGATTCCTCAGAGTCGGACTCCTTGCACGTCAGTTCAGATGGAAGCAGTGGACTCCTTATTCTGACATTATGTTTTATCTTGTTTATATAAGGAGATCAAGCACATGTCTTCATAACTAAACTTTATTAAGAATAGCTACCCACGCTCCCACAATGCAAGAGCCACTTCCTGACTGTACCATTGTGCACATAACAGTTTAGATATGGTTCATATCAAATGATAATCTCAATATCACACAGCTGTGTGAATCGGTAATGGTGAGGCTGTGTGAGTCGGTAATGGGGAGGCTGTGTGAGTCAGTGATGCAGACGCTGTGTGAGTCGGTAATGGGGAGGCTGTGTGAGTCGGTAATGGGGAGGCTGTGTGAGTCGGTAATGGGGAGGCTGTGTGAGTTGGTAATGGGGAGGCTGTGTGAGTCGGTAATGGGGAGGTTGGTAGAGGTGGAGAGGCTGTGAGCTGGCTACAGATAAGAGGGATCACTGGACCCCGAGGAGCAATGTGAGGGGACACATAGGTGGGATCCACTTTGAAGTGCACGAGACAGGCCTTAGCAGTCAGTCATCCATGTTTCTCGCCCACAACGACCTCTGTGAGACATTTCACAACCAAACCCTGCATGGAGAACAAGTCCCAAACACTCAGACTGGACATACTAAACGCAGCACCCAGAGATCCTACAAACTGAACCCAGCACCCAGAGATCCTACAAACTGAACCCAGCCCCCAGAGATCCTACAAACTGAACCCAGCACGCAGAGATCCTACAAACTGAACCCAGCACGCAGAGATCCTACAAACCGAACCCAGCACGCAGAGATCCTACAAACCGAACCCAGCACCCAGAGATCCTACAAACTGAAACCCAGCCCCCAGATATCCTACAAACCGAACCCAGCACCCAGAGATCCTACAAACTGAACCCAGCACCCAGAGATCCTACAAACTGAAACCCACCCCCCAAACTGAACCCAGCACCCAGAGATCCTACAAACTGAAACCCACCCCCAGAGATCCTACAAACTGAACCCAGCACCCAGAGATCCTACAAACCCGAACCCAGCACCCTGAGATCCTACAAACCGTACCCAGCACCCAGAGTCTAGAGCCAACCCAGCATAGAGGTCCTACAAGCCTGAGCCCCACCTTTGCAGAGATCCTACAAACTGACCCCTTGCCTTGAGATCCTACAAACTGAAACTCAGCCCCCAGAGATCCACAAACTGAACCCAGCACCCAGAGATCCTACAAGCTGAACCCTGCACCCAGAGATCCTGCAAGCTGAAACTCAGCCCCAGAGATCCTGAGAGATCCTACAAACTGAACCCAGCACCCAGAGATCCTACAAACTGAACCCAGCACCCAGAGATCCTGCAAAGCTGAACCCAGCACGCAGAGATCCTACAAACTCAACCCAGCACCCAGAGATCCCACAAACTGAAACTCATACCCAGAGATCCTACAAGCGAACCCAGCCCCCAGAGATCCTACAAACTGAACCCAGCACGCAGAGATCCTACAAAGCTGAACCCAGCACGCAGAGATCCTACAAACTGAACCAAGCACCCAGAGATCCACAAACAAACCCAGCACCCAGAGATCCACAAACTGAACCCTGCACCCAGAGATCCTACAAACTGAACCCAGCACCCAGAGATCCTACAAACTGAACCAAGCACCCAGAGATCCTACAAACTGAACCCAGCCCCCAGAGATCCTACAAACTGAAACTCAGCCCCCAGAGATCCTACAAACTGAACCCAGCAACCAGAGATCCTACAAACTGAACCCAGCACCCAGAGATCCTACAAACTGAACCCAGCACCCAGAGATCCTACAAACTGAACCCAGCACCCAGAGATCCTACAAACTGAACCAAGCACCCAGAGATCCTACAAACTGAACCCAGCCCCCAGAGATCCTACAAACTGAAACTCAGCCCCCAGAGATCCTACAAACTGAACCCAGCACCCAGAGATCCTACAAACTGAACCCAGCACGCAGAGATCCTACAAACTCAACCCAGCACCCAGTGATCCTACAAACTGAAACCCAGCACCCTGAGATCCTACAAACCGAACCCAGCCCCCAGAGATCCTACAAACTGAACCCAGCACGCAGAGATCCTACAAACTGAACCCAGCACGCAGAGATCCTACAAACTGAACCAAGCACCCAGAGATCCTACAAACCGAACCCAGCAACCAGAGATCCTACAAACTGAACCCTGCATCCAGAGATCCTACAAACTGAACCCAGCACCCCAGAGATCCTACAAACTGAACCCCGCACAAAGAGATCCTACAAACTGAACCCAGCACCCCAGAGATCCTACAAACTGAACCCCACACAAAGAGATCCTACAAACTGAACCCAGCAACCAGAGATCCTACAAACTGAACCCCGCACGAAGAGATCCTACAAACTGAACCCAGCATGCAGAGATCCTACAAACTGAACCAAGCACCCAGAGATCCTACAAACTGAACCCAGCCCCCAGAGATCCTACAAACTGAACCCAGCCCCCAGAGATCCTACAAACTGAACCCAGCACCCAGAGATCCTACAAACTGAACCCAGCACCCAGAGATCCTACAAACTGAACCCCGCATGAAGAGATCCTACAAACTGAACCCCGCACCCATATATCCTACAAACTGAACGCAGCACCCAGAGATCCTACAAACTGAACCCCGCACGAAGAGATCCTACAAACTGAACCCAGCACGCAGAGATCCTACAAACTGAACCCTGCACCCAGAGATCATACAAACCAAACCCAGCACCCAGAGATCCTACAAACTGAACCCTGCACCCAGAGATCCTACAAACTGAACCCAGCACCCAGAGATCCTACAAACTGAACCCAGCACCCAGAGATCCTACAAACCGAACCCCGCACAAAGAGATCCTACAAACTGAACCCCGCACCCAGAGATCCTACAAACTGAACCCAGCCCCTAGAGATCCTACAAACTGAACCCAGCACGCAGAGATCCTACAAACTGAACCCAGCACCCAGAGATCCTACAAACTGAACCCAGCACCCAGAGATCCTACAAACCGAACCCAGCACCCAGAGATCCTACAAACAGAACCCAGCACCCAGAGATCCTACAAACCGAACCCAGCACCCAGAGATCCTACAAACTGAACCCAGCACGCAGAGATCCTACAAACTGAACCGAGCACGCAGAGATCCTACAAACTGAACCAAGCACCCAGAGATCCTACAAACTGAACCCAGCACCCAGAGAGCCTACAAACTGAACCCAGCACGCAGAGATCCTACAAACCGAACCCAGCACCCAGAGATCCTACAAACTGAACCCTGCACCCAGAGATCCTACAAACTGAACCCAGCACCCCAGAGATCCTACAAACTGAACCCCACACAAAGAGATCCTACAAACTGAACCCAGCACCCCAGAGATCCTACAAACTGAACCCCGCACAAAGAGATCCTACAAACTGAACTCAGCACCCAGAGATCCTACAAACTGAACCCTGCACGAAGAGATCCTACAAACTGAACCCAGCACGCAGAGATCCTACAAACTGAACCAAGCACCCAGAGATCCTACAAACTGAACCCAGCCCCCAGAGATCCTACAAACTGAACCCAGCCCCCAGAGATCCTACAAACTGAACCCAGCACCCAGAGATCCTACAAACTGAACCCTGCACGAAGAGATCCTACAAACTGAACCCCGCACCCATATATCCTACAAACTGAACCCAGCACCCAGAGATCCTACGAACTGAACCCCGCACGAAGAGATCCTACAAACTGAACCCAGCACGCAGAGATCCTACAAACTGAACCCTGTACCCAGAGATCCTACAAACCAAACCCAGCACCCAGAGATCCTACAAACTGAACCCTGCACCCAGAGATCCTACAAACTGAACCCAGCACCCAGAGATCCTACAAACTGAACCCCGCACGAAGAGATCCTACAAACTGAACCCCGCACCCATATATCCTACAAACTGAACCCAGCACCCAGAGATCCTACGAACTGAACCCCGCATGAAGAG